TTAGTTAGAGTGGTTTGGTTACAGCAACAGATGTAATAAATCTGTGAAAAGCGCACAAATACATATCACAGTGAGGTGGAGGGAAATTCGTTCACAACTGATCGAACGGTGGTATTTATGCTTTATTTTTTGACCGTTTTTCTTTTTTTACGTCTTTAATTTTTTTCTTTCTTTTCTTTTCTTATACAGCTTATTTCTTTCTCGCAGATCATTATTAGCGTTATTATTGATACTATAAACATAAACCTTTCCAAAAAAAAAAAAAAGAAATTTTCTTTTTCAAATTAATCAAGGATTCCGATAAAACAAGTAATAATACTACATGCTAATAATTGTCCAAAAAAAATAGATTTTTTTGGCAACCACTAAACAAATAAACGAAATATGGGTATCCTAAAAACAGACTAGATATATATTATACATAGGTATCATCTGTTCTCAACAATAAAACTTTAAGCTATTGTTTAGTGAAAAGATTAATATTATTACTGAAAGAAAGAAGAAGAAAAAAAAACGAGAAACGAAGATGAGAAGTTTTTTAGAATAATTCAAAAAATTTAACTACCTATACAATAGCAGTTGTTGAAAGCAACTTAATTGGCCCTAAACAATTCAATATCGCCACTAATATATACAAAGTTTATATGCGAGTATATCTGTGTGTGTCTGTGTGTGTGTGTGTGTGTGTGTGTGTGTGGGTGTGTGGTGGTGTGTTTGTGTATTTGTGTGCGTCTTAGATCAAGACTGTGTTTTTTCTTCCAGATTTCTTTCCTTTCTTTTTTTTCTCTCGTTATACCAATACCCAAGGGGCTTGTCAGGGTAATCTGTAGTCATGATGTTTAAACCCGTTTTTATAAAGCGAAATTAAACATTAGGTTTTGCATTTGATACTGAACAGTTACAAAGTTCGGCCAAAATTGCTGCTGTTATAACCCGTATTTGGCGATTCTTAATCAAATCCATAAAGAAAGAAGCTTTAATTAAAAGTAAGCAGAACAACAAAGCAGTAGGACTAAACGAGAAAAATGGCATGCAACAAAACATACTGAGTCACAGTCAATACCTTTGTTCTTTTTACTTAATGTTATTTTGAAGCAGATAAAGTTATGGCAACGAAGCAAAAATGGTACTGTAAAAAGTGACTCGACAATTCTTGATTGAAGCCGCATTAAAATATATTAAATTTAGACTGCTAATTTTTATAGCTTCAAAAACCGAAAATCAAGAATTTTTGCTGTCTTATCACTAATTTGTTTAAGAAGGCTTCTGACAAATTGGTTTTTTTAGCAGATCATCAAGTTTGCATGTAAACTTTAATTGATCTTAGTCTGTTGCTATCAGAACGTATAAATTGGTCTTCATGATCACTGAAGATAGCTTAGTAATTTAACTAAATGCTTTACAACATACTCATGTAAAAAATTTTTTTCTGCTTTTTTTCTTCATCTCTTTTTTCTCCTCTTCTACCATTCAGTGCTTAATACCGACTCATCGTTATCGAACGTCAAAAAAGTGAGAAAAAAAGAAACGTAGCGAAACAATTAAAAAAAAAAACCAAAAAAACTTTATGCTTCTCAGTGACAGTTACACTGTCAAAATACAAATTTGATAACTGCTTTTAAGTGCCAATACCGTTGCAGCGAAAAATGCCGAATTATTGAATTGAAATAGAAAAAAGTTTTTTTTTTTGGTAGCATTATTTCTACCAGAAAAAATAATTTTCACTTGCAAAAAGAATTTTATTACCGCAAGAAACAAAAAAAAAAAAAAAAAAAAAAAAAAAAAAA